GCAACTTATAGACATATCTCTTTTATAAAAGATTTTTATTTTTTATTAACCCGCATTAAATTCCATAACTAACAAAGGTCATTGAATATCATATCAATTTTTTGTATTGTCTGGTCCGCGAACCCTTTATAATTTGTGAATATTGGTTCATAAATGTTGCTGACCACTGAGTTAAAACATATTATATTTACTAAAATAATTGCTTACCTAACGGTAATGATTGACTTAGGTAGAGGTTTTTTATTAACTGAATGACTAACTTATTGCAACGTTTTTTAAATAAAAATTTAATAAATCATATAAAAAGTATTAATATCGAAAAACAATTTCTTTATTGCATATCTTGCACGTCCGTACTACCCATACAAACTTGAACGGTACTTCGTATGATTATTGTACACATATTTAGTATTCAAATTTCCTATAGTTGTTCTATTGATAAATATTATGACGAAATCGTTGTTATCAATATAATTTGTTATCAAATTATATGTCAATCTTGACATTAAATATGTTCAATGTTCAAACTCCGGGTTATCTAATCCCATGTCACCGCATCCATTAGTGACGTGATGTTACAGGGCGATATTTTTTATATTATTTTAAGAATAGAAGATGGACCCATTAAATTAAAAACAAAAAAAATCTAAGTAGTCTTATTTAACCAAATTTACAGTAGCCCAACGGAGTTTGCCCCGGTGTCTCGGTGACCTAGTCCAACCCTGAAAACACATTAGGTTAATACGTCTATATTGATACATCGTTCGCCGCAATAGATTTTTATTTTATTTTATTAATGTAATTATTTCCGATACTCCACATAGCCCCGATTCCGTTTATCGTCATCCATGTACTAATACAGTATATATTAATTCTCTTGATTTGATGTAGGTAATACCCGGCTTCCCAGAAACCTGGGTACTCAGGTACCCGATTATTCGGGTAATACCCGATTTTGTAGGTAGTCAACGTTTTCGGGTAGTGGGTACCCATTACTCAAAATTTGTGGGTACCCAATAGTTTTTGATGTACGTAAACGGTTTAGCTAAGTCATAACTGCTAAGAGGTAATCATTATTAAATTATACATTACACAATTATTCGAACAAAAAATATTAAAATATTTCCTCTTTTAATTAACAAAATTACATTTTAAAAAGAAAATCTTTAATATCTTATGTGAATGTTATTAGTAATATTATATTTAAATAATCAGTTTATTCAAGTCTAATGTCGAATAACATGTTAAAAGCTATTATAAAGCCTATATTTAAATCTTGAAGATAACGGATATCGTGGCGTTATTCGTTACCTTTTATATGTATAGTTACGTAGATAATAATAAGTAATCACAATAAGTGGTGTATATTCGGGGGGGGGGGGAGTAGGCGTTCAAACCCACCCCAGGGCCAAAAAAAAGAAAATTGTGATATTATTGATGACGTGTAATATATTCATAGTTTCATTGTTACGCTTTGAACTTAAAATATACAACTATACAAAAATTATAATAATTGAATAATTATATGGATAGGTGTTTGAAAAGTTTTGTTAACTATGCTGTTTTTATATTCCTATAGCTACTAATTTACTGTAATATAAAAATAAACAATAAATTGTTTTAAAAAGATGTATAAAATAATATCTATTTATAGCAGTTATTTATCTGTGTTACGAAAAAAAAAGGTAACGAAATTTATCATGTTTTAGGAAAAATATGTATTTACATACAAATCCCAGCTCTAGTAATGAGTATACAAACCATAATGGGTACCCGATTCATAACGGATACCCATTTCATAACGGGTACCCGAAATTTTGTAAATCGGCTAATACCCGTAAAACCCGGGTATCAAGAGCACTAGTAGATGTACATTACACACATAAAAGTTAAATAATATTTAACATAATATGTAATATATTATATTAATATTAATTAATATTTAATATTTAAATCATTTAAAAATTATAATACACGTAAAAACAACAACTCGTCGACAGATTAAAATCGATTATCGTTTACTATTTTCTGAAAACGGGACAATTTAGTGTCTGAAAAATTTTCTTGTGGACAACAGGACGAAGATGCGAAAAACGGAACAGTCTCGTTCAAAACGAGACGTATGCCCAACAATGCGTATACCCAACAATATTTGATTATCGACCAGCCCCACCGAGTTGCACGAATCGAAAATACAAAGGCTCAAAGTCAACAACTATTATTCACTAATTCGATCATGAAAATTAAAAATAGTATTCCGTCCTCAACATCCTTCGTCCCATGAAAATCATTCGATGTACGTTTCGAGATTGAAAATCGATTGTTTTCAAAACTAACGAGATATCAACCGAAATAATCATTCGGTTATATAATCGAATTATTATTTTGATAATATCGAAATAGCTCGATCATTACCATGGTCGAGATATCTCGATTACGCCCGTCACTAAATATGACGACCGTAAGGATTGGGGTTTTGTATCGCTCTACTATAGTTATTATTACATATTGTTATTAATATTTTTTCCCGTAAATCTGTACTTCGCGTAACGTTCGAAGCCCACCGGTCCCAGAAACGATTCTCCAGGTATCTCCCCACCCACTCCATCCGTAGTGATCTCGTCAGTACCGTGTAATTAAAAATGGATCACAACGAAACAAAATATCTCGCTCAACAATATGTGCTGCATAATATTTTCTCTCTTTTCGAACACGATTTGAAACGAAACGTCAAAGAACAAAACCTCTCTATATCAGTCCAATTAGAGTTAGTTTCACGGTCTCGATGTTGTGAAATTCTGATAATAAGATAAGTACCCGATCGAGACGAATATGCAAATCACGAGTTAAGTCCAATTGTGACATAACGGGAATACATTTGGCTGTTTGAAGAAATCGCATTTAAACCAATTGCACTAGTAATGGCCGTGCACCTCGTTCGGAAACTCGTACAGTGCAATAAATTTACTTGTATAACAAATAAAACAAATATATACAGTCTTATTTGTACCTATATATGTCTAAGTTCGGGAAGTTTTTAATTTAAAACAGCAGGTCAGGTTCATAGGACTTTTAAACCGTATATATATATGTATAACTCGTTTCGAACGACGCGTTCACCGAAAAATCGCGTGGGTCAACTTAATAGTTATTATTCAAATTAATCATCGGGAAATAAAACGAAACTTAAAACGCGTTTCTGAAATGGGTTTTTTAAACTGCACTTTGGATGTATAATACATGTATTATCAATGGAGGTGTCCGAAATAAACCGTAAAGTGTTGGGAATCGACATGGACGTGAATTCTGTGCTGTTATTATACTCCTTTCCGTCTCATGGCCATACCGTGTACTTCGTTTTAAATTTATATAAGTGTCTGTTAAAATATTACATGATGTTGTAAATAAGTTGAATTGAAATCTTGAAGCCTAATCGCGTTTTATGGCAATAAATATTTCAACGAGGTTTGATGTTGAAATTTATATTGGTTGCTTTAATCGGGATCTTTAAACATTTATTGATTTCATAAAAAATGATATTTACAAAAAGCACTATTTATTTCTCAAATCAACAGCCAAGATGTAACAGTTAATATATTTATTACAATAATTAACATAACTATCAAATGGGATTTATGAATATTTATAATAGTTTTATGTGTTATAATATGGTGAATATAATATACTTGATTTATATATGAATAACATTATACCATGGATGGTCTGAAAATTTAAGTTAAACTTAAGTTATTTAAATTAAGATTTGTATATTTGTTGTATATCTGTATATTGTATCATCTTTCGCAGAGTATTTTTATTTTCAACAATAATATAAAGCGAAATGTAAGTAATTTAACTGTACCCTTATACGAGTACACTATTAATTACACAGTTCATACTCATTATCATTCTCGAAATATAAATCGTTTATAACACCGTTGTAATTATTATTCAATAAATACAATCATTTTAATAAATTTAATGATAAGGATTCACAAGAACTTCAAACATTTTTCTCTTGTCCTTGTAGTTCATAATTATAATGAAACATAATTTTTTTTTACGTTTTCGTTTCGCTGTAATTTTAGTTTATTGTATTTTGCTCAGTCTGCTAATTGGAAAAAAAGTTTACTTGCTAAACATTTTTACGTGTACAAAGTTTCTTCTTTGCGTAAACCTTTTAATTTTTCGAACTGTCCTGAAGTTGATCTAATTTCTAGTTTCGTTTTTGAAAAGTCGTAGTGTATGCGCTCATATTAAGTAACTACAAAATGTAATTAATCTTTTTTATTATTTTCATGTCGTTAGAATGACAAAGCATTTAAACACAGCTGCGAAATATTTTGCCTTAGTTGACTTTCAATTACTGTTGACGCTGAACACACAAGTTAAAGATAATTTAAATAAAGGTAATGCTTTGTCAACATTACTAATCGCCATCGTATACTTGATAACTTATTGATTGTGTAAAAAAATTATTCAAATATTTATTTTTTGAACAGTTAAATAATAATGAAGGCTCATAGGTATCATAAAGATTTTTTGTTTAAAATATTGAGTACATTATCACGATTTACGAACATTTTTTATCATGAAACTATGGTAAAAATTATTAGTAAAATTATATTTTCAAATCAACGTTGCTCAACCATTCGTTTAATTATAGATGTTGAATGTTAAACTTTGTATTATAATTATTTCATCGTAGTATATGCAAATTTTAATTTGTAAATAAATATATATAATTTATTATTAGAATAGACGACGTTGTGCGCTTTCTTTAACCTAATTTCTTTATTTTTTTTTCATCATAATAGCAATTAATCTAATCTTAATAAGAAAAATATTTCTTGGGCGAGGCAGAATCATGCAGCTGGTTATAATTTAATTATTATTATAACAATAAGAATTTGATATTTATATTTGAATTAGTTTGTTTTTTACCGGGTAGTATATCTGTTAGTATAACATTATGGTAAACGAAAAAAATCAAATCAACGTTCACATCTGTAGTTATTTTATTACGATTTCGAACGAACACGATTTTTATTTAAATGCGTTCGTTTGTTAACTACGTGCATTGACAAGTGAAACAAAAGAAAACCGGAATAATCGGTGAGAGCATTGGATTTTCGGGTAAACATTACCACAATCTAAACACCAAGTTTGGTGGGGGAAAAAAATAATAATAATTTTTTTGGCCTTTCATGATCGGTAAGGATTATAGCGATCAATATGGACGTTGCTTCTTGACAGCACGGCACTAATGTGTACGATATGAGCACAGAAAGCGGTTAATGTGTCTTCGGTCTGTACGTGGGTAAGAACGGAACGGAGTACGTCCATTTCATTCTGAAAAATGTACGAAAGAATCAATAATAATACGATTAAAATGTTTTTAGTAGAAGACAAATCAATCGATTACCCGCAATGCGATACATCATTTATAAACCTGTACACATAACTATAAATTGTAATGAAAGGTACACGCTTTACGGGCAGAGTTGGACATTAGTCGAATAAAAAATCGTTCCATTGATTATTTAAATAAAAATATATTCTTTATTCATTTATTTTTCATTTGATTATTCTAGATTCTTTTTATTCCTCTTTTTATTTTTTACAATTATTCGTTATTCATTATTCTTCGTAGTCGTTTTTATCTCAAATGATTCATAGATGATTTAAAATTCCAACTATGTTAAAAATTGAAACCTGTATGTTTCTTTTTTATTGCTATATTATCTACTATCGAAAATGTCAAAACCAAAAATCATAAATAATATTTTTATCTACGAGGGGCTAATCCAACTGGTTTAGCACTCGATATCGGCATGTTATTATTCCGCACACAGGGTTTTACTGTTTTAGTAACATTTTTGTAATTTATTTAATATAAAGTCTGACATACGAGTAACTTGATGTTAGCCATATTGTAAGTGCTGAAATTTAATTTTGTATAGTATTTACTATTATTATTTCATTTTTATTATAATTATTTGCTTTTATGCTATTATGAAAATTATATTTTTATCAAAATTTTGTTACACGAAAATTGGATATTATTTAATATTTATTTAATTAATTTTTTCATAAGTTGAATTATTATTCAGAATTATTTTCATTTTCCATTAACAATTAAAATTATTTAAAATAAAATATTACTCTCTATTCACAAATTAATTAGTAGTTATTCATGATTTTTTTTTTTTATTCATCATTTTGATTTGTTTTAGCCCAACTCTGTTTACGGGAATTGATAGCGGGTAAAATTAGCCGCCTGGTAAACTGATCATGAAATAATTTATTTTTTTATCCATACAATTTGTATTGGAACACAATAGGCGTAAAACGAAAATACAAAGAGGGTGCAGAAAGAATTTTTAAAATATGTGAAGCCTAATATTAGACCCTAATAAAGAAACTGCTAATAATTTCCAACTTCTGTATTAGAACTAATTTTATAATTATATTTTTTTATTGATTTATAATTGTATTACTTTCAAAATCGTTTTTTTTCTTTTTTTTTTTTGTTAATTAATTAATTCGATGAATTATTTCATCAATAAATTAACCCATTTTACTAGTTATAAATTCACTGGTGATCAATAGCTCACGATGAATTCACCGAGATCTATCTATTAATAGAACAATTAACAACTTACAGCCGCAAGCCATCAGTTATCGAACGATTTATTTTGTGACAAGGTGGCTCTTTTTCGCGACAAACCTAATACTAAGTTTTAAGAATCACTACGCTAGAAACGATGTTGTTATAGGAAAGTTCTAAAAACATGTTGATTTTGTATTAGTAATTGTGCACTCATTAATGAGAATGAGAGTTTGTATGTCTTTGTCTACACAATATTATATACTAATTATAATATCCTTATCTGTAATATTCGATAGCGCTCATATGAAAACCATAAACAAAATTCGAACATTCTACTTGCGAAAATACGTTTCTAGTAACAAAGTTTTTTTTTTAAATTTTGAATTTCGAACGTAAATTCTCCGTAAGATAAAATTTTTTTTTCTTGAAAAACTTCTATTTTTCAAGTTTCATGACAATTATTTAAAATAAAATCGAAAACGTTTCAATGCCTCGGTATCGAGAAACTCATATCTGTTTTAAAAGCCAAAGTCGGATTACGAATTTCGGGGTAAGATTAGACACCGTTGTTTTTAACCAAAAGTACGCGGGTGTAGAGGGTGTGTTATAAGTTATCATCAGAACTAAAAGGGCGAACGCTTACTTTCTTAACGTCTCCATGCCGATCGGAAAATCGTACGTACTGGACTCTTCGCCCGTGGTCGGCGCACTGGTCAAATTCATTTCCTTTCCCCAGGCAATCAAGCCCCTTTCTTCCGGAGTGCCTGTCAAAAGAAACACAGCCGGTAAACATGACACAGCGAGGAAATAACTGTTTTCACATATTGTCACGCGATACTTTCGTACCAGGTATGGTGTTGTCTAAAAAGCATCCGATCATGCCTCCGACTAGAATACTCGTACTGCAAATAACGGTCAATACGCTGTCCAGGATTTCGTTACCAGTTTGGATCACGTTGGGATGGGCAATAAGCCATTTCGGTAAGACCTGAAACAACGAAACCAAATTAGATTACATTATGCATTTGCTATTTGTCTTGCATGCGTTTCAACTGTTGACAAGATATCGAATAAACTCATTCTGAAAAGAAAATATTACTATTGTTATTTGTTCAACGGACAAGACGTGGTGCAGTAGAATGCAATCGAAAAGGCCGATTATATATTTATGTTGTTGAAATTTAATTGTACACGCGATGAAATAACCCCTTTTGAATACAAAAAAAACTTTGTTTACTGTAGATATACTGTATATAATTATAGAATTGATTGCAAAAATATCGAATAATCAAATCTTCGTCACACTTCTACAGATTGTTTATGATCTGATGTCATTGTGCGCAGTCTTGAGACTTATCTAGATAAAAATATTAATTGTATATTATATTGTCTAGGTAAAAGCGTAAAACGTATCTATTTATCTATTTTAGATGAACACTTTAGTTCTCTACAGTGTTTGTTTACCTAGTTATTTTTTTTTTAATGTATGTATGTTTTTTTTTGATTAATATTTCGAGTGTTTCAAGGGTTCAGGGATTTTTCGGTGCATCACCAGTTGGCTTCGACAAATATATTCAATAATGAAAATATCCAGTGAAATTAATATGATTGAAAGAGTACCCATACGTTTTCCAGAATTTCGACACACATTTATACCATAATGAGCATTGACCAAATGTAGTTGTTATTTAGCGCAAATCTGTAAGCTTCACCAAGAACAATAATATATAATAACAACAATTATAACTTTTTGGGTAATGGATAATAATTAAAAATCATTGTTGTTGTTTACTGTTTTTTTAGTAAGAACTGTTAACATCTTCTCGAAAATAAATCCTATGAACCACGCGGAGCAGATTTATTTTCGTAATTGTATATATTAATAAATTGTAAAATAACTTGACGCGCTATACGGCCAAAGGGTAACTGCCCGCCTACCGATAATAACTGTTAGTGTTTTCCGACACGATCGGTCTTACCACGGAAAGCGTCAACATGAGATTCACAAATGAATGTGTATTATCAAATTTTTATCTAATTTTTTTTTATACTTAACAAATAAAATATTTTAAAATCGAGACACATTTCAAACGCCTTAAACAAATATAAAATATTTTATACGTGATAGTCCTGATAATTCAGGAAAAAATTATTTTTGGTTTTTATATTTACAATTTAATACAAAATCATTGTTTTTTTTATAAATGTATCTGCTTTTTATCTAGATGAATTGTCTTTTATATTTTATAAAGATAACATAAGTTGAGCCTATTTTTATCTTTGTCTAGACCAAAGGTGGGCAAGTTAATGAAAATGATTAACTCGAGTTAAGTTAAGTTAAGAGAACACTAGATCAATAAGTTAAAAGTTAACAGTTAACAATTCTTAAATTTAACTCGATAAGTTATAAATTAATAAGAAAAAAAGTATTAACTTAACTCAGTTTAAAAAAAGTTAATCTATTTTTTTAATTAGTAAGTAGATATAGATAAAAAATGACTTTGTTCTTTAGAAAGATTTATTTCATAAATTATAATAAACAATTTTATTAAATTTTTATCATAATATACAGCAGTGGCGCTGAAGTGTTTGAAAAATACTTTGACATTGTACAATATACATCGAGGGGTTACTCACTACCATATTTTTTATCTTTATAGTTAAAATTCTTTATACATAACATTCTGTATCCAGAATCCAATACTCAAAGGTGGGCCCCCAATCTACAAAATCTTATATGACATCTGATTTACAGTGTATGCGACCATTTTACTTTACATGATTATTTAATTTTTGAATTAATATTTACATATAAACGAAAAATTTAAAACATTTTTATTTTGATAGATCCTTTTTAAATCAACTGTAAAAAGCTAAGTTATTTCAACTTCCAGTTAATCTAGATAATTTAAAAAGTTTATTAGAAAATAAACTAACTAGTTAAAATCAAAGTCAAAAAAATTAACTGTTTAACTTAACTTAACTTTTTAACTATGTAATGCCCACCTTTGGTCTAGACACAAATGTATTTAATTGGTCTCCTCACTGATTACACGCGGGAAAAATAGTTCAATATATTATTGCAGTATTTTTCATAATTTTAAACATTATTTTAATATGTATGAAAATGTATTTTAATTGCAATCTACAGTGACTGTGAAAAAATCTACGACACAATCTATAATATAGGTATGTACACAATATGGTATGTTTTAATTATTATTATATTTAAAAATGGACTTTGTAAACGTACCAATGAGAAAAATATTGAAAATCCAATAATGTATAAATTTCTCGACGAGTTCAACTGAACGTACTGCAGAGCGGATAATCCTATTAAATCAAACAATCGTAAATTCAAATAAATTAAACATAATAATTATAATAAACACAAAAGTAACAAAAGAGTAATGCTAATGATCGTCAAATATCCGAATCGTATAGTGTAACAGTTTTGAGTGTTTTCGCATACCAAAGCACGAAAATAAGAATACGAGAAGCATTCCATAAGTGCATTATGATATTTTATTCACTGCAAGATTATACAGTTTATTAATATCGATTTGCTAAATTATAATATACTATCGTGTTATTTGACGATCATTTTTTGATTAGACTTTGAATATGCAATATATTCGTAATATTATTACCAAATGCACTTATCATTCCGAACATGATGCAAAACATTCCTCCCACGATGGGTTCAGGGATGATAATGAAGACGGCACCAAATTTATTGATGATACCTTGGATCAACATCAGTAAACTAGCGTACTGTATAACACGCCGGCTGCCGATCTGGAAAAACGGAAAAATATCGCTTTACATGTGGATTGGTTGCGCAAGTTTGGTTGTGTTTTCTTTTATTTTTTTTCGCGGCATCTTAGGGTGTTCGTTTAACGGCGACTGCACTACCCGTAGCGTATATGGCTATATTCTTAGCTTGCTCGTGGCACTCGTGATCTGCCGTGCATGGAGCTCAACGATTTCGTCGCTTCAAATCCGGGTGAGATCATCCATTCGTGGGTAGCTAATGGCGTCGAACGCAGCAATTACACGATATGAGCTTTTCCGTTTTAACAACGGTTTTGCAGCGGGCACGATTTTGTTCACAACAAAAGTAAACAATATTTACGACAAAAACGAAATTAAGTAAATTTTATTGGAACTGTTGCCGACACGGATCGTAGACAAAGCTCGGTCTTAGCTTAGGTATAAAACGTTGAATAATTAAAGGTCCGAAGCCAATGATACATTATTAACGATTACGATGGACGCTCAAAAAAATTTTGATTTTAATTTTTTTAATTTTCTTAATTTTATTTCACTTATAAGTAATACATTTACGAGCGAATTAATAATAATAAGTAATTGTACATCGATATAATATAGTTTTCCGTGGTTCGCCAAATGCGATAAGAACATGCGTACAGTACGAGTCGGTTATGGATTAAAATATCTTTAAGTCTAAGTACAATGTCGTAAAATGTAAAATGTTATTAAAACAATAAAATTCAATAAAAATGATATCGGTGTTCGACTGGTTCATTGTAGTGGTCTAGATTGCAATAAAGCGCTTTCGAAAATAATGTATATTTTTGAACGTTGACAACGTAACAACACGATAAAACATCGTAATGGTTGTCCTTGTATCATGTTCATTATTTAGTACTCCAAACACAAAGAGATTCACGAAAAACAATCAATAAATACAAATGATACGCACGCACTTAAGCGAAAACGTAACCTAAATTGTTATTGTTCCGTACGTTCGAATGTATCCGTATACGTAACGCTTATCGCAAAGATAAGAGAGGTATCGAACGAGTGCAACTGAGCCAACTCGGACAACACAAGAACGTCAAGTTTTGCGAGTCTTGGTAGTCTACTGAATGAAGATTTAATTCTTTACGGTTGTACTAACGTTACAATGTAACGCGTGTTTGAGTTCCAATTAAACGACGTAGTTGAGTTATTTTTTTTATGTAATAATTAACAGATTTCTTTGAAAATCCGTTTGTTGAATATCAACTAACACAAAGAGACTACATCAGTTGTGTTACGTCAACGTGTTTCATTACTTTTTTAAAACGACTGATAAAACACAACACGTTTTTAATGTTGACTCGAATTTCGAGTCTTTTGAAATTGTTCAAAACAACATTTTTCGAACCGGAACATAATTATACTAACAACAATAGTTATAATAATTATACGAATATAGTAATTATTTCGCGTGGTATATGTTAAAGTAATATTTTAATCTAATCGAAGCTGACTACGTGAAATCATTCGTAACGCACGTCATGTCGGATCGGAAATCACAAATTTTTCGACGGTTCATAATGTCTACCGTCGAGCTGTACAGTGTACATGTGACGGGCAACACGGTACCGATACTGGGCAATGTACACATTGCTCGGGCAATTTGGTCTTGCCCCGGAAATTTGAACCTCGAGTGTAAATAAATAATTACAAAGTTTCTCGAAAGCACGAAAACTCCACTGGTTAATCGTAAATATCAATTATTGCTCATGTATTGTTGTGTTGTCTGATCGTTTCGACGGACATTACTTTTATCAATCTGATATGGGAAAACAGTAGATTTAAAATAGAATAATATATAAACAGGTAGTGTTTATAGTATATATATTTCATTTATAATTATATACACCGATTATATTCTTCTATTTTATACATATATATTGTTTTCTCATATCGAATCGATAAAAGTAATACATCTGTGTGGATATAATCCGGACAACAATATATGAACAATAATTGATATTTACGATTGACCAGTCGAGTTTTCGTGCTTTTCAAAAAAAAAAAAAACTTTGTAATTATTTATTTATATCCGAGGTTCGAATTGCCCGGTATTCCGCATATTGTCCGCAACATATGTATTTATCGTACGTTTGTGAAACGCGATCGACGTTTTGTACGGAACAAGAGAGTGGGTTTCACGATCGCGGTCCATCCGACGAGGTTCCGCGCAACGATGACGCGCGCACTAATACCGTCGTCGTTTACCTTGGTGACGCCGATCGCGCCGACGTTCTCGCCGAACGTGTTCGTCCCGTTGCCGCTTCCCCAAAGTCCGGCGAGCACCGTCCCGAGTCCTTCGAAACCGATCCCTCTGTTGATGGCGTGCACGGGCGGCGGCGGAGCTCCTGCGCAAAACGTCTAACGTTGATTATTGCTACCTCTCGTCTACCGAGGTAGTAGAAAAATGTAAAAAAAAAATATTAATGCATTTTTTCTTTTTTTTTAGAATCTGCAGGGAATAAAAACGCTTTTCGTGGGCATTTATTTAGGGTTTCGCTGAGAGCATTCGATTCTCAGCCATAATCATGACGGTAAACGTTGTAATAAGATTTCATACGTACCGCACATTTTTGCTGTTGTCGGATAGTAACTTATGGACTCGACGGTACAAGCCAGTACGCCGGCCAACATGCCCACAACGCCGGCTACGCTGACGGTCGGCCAGCCCCATTGACCTGTGTGATTTTGCAAATATACCGACGCGTTAGACGTGATATATTGAATCGCGCGAACGTGCTCGTTACGGAGACGTAAAACCTCGTTTTACTTTTCGATCTCAACTCTTTTTCCCCCCGTCCTATAACTTGCACAATAAAGGATATATTTTTTTATTCGTCGAGACACTAACCGACGAAACTGTAGGATTTTGTGATTAAAAGGTCACCCTTTTTTTGTAAAAAAAAAAAAAAAACATTATACGAGTATTTATATTTTATATCTGTGAGCACGATTTAGACCGGAAGTATAGCTTAGATCATTATAATTATTAGTAATTTATAATAGAAAATATTGTCCGGTTAGAACTTTGAAGTATGTGACTTAACGAATTTCTCAATAGTTTTCTTAGTAAATGCGAAAAACCGAGATGAAGTTTAAAAAAAAAAATACATAAAATTTAATAATTTGAGTTTTTTATGTACAATTGTATAATTGTATAATTAAATTGTATTGTAAATTAAATTTGTTTAGATTGTACAATTGTATAATTGAAAATGTTATGTTTTCTTTTTTCAAGTTTTATTTCATAAAATGTCGATAGTATAATTTTGGTCTGACCAAAAATCTTAGAAATTTAAAACGAAGTTGTTCATATATATCTATGACTGATAAATGAAAGAAAAAAAAAAATTGGTACTTAATTTTGATGGAGCTAAATTTACACCTAACTGGTTTCATACCAAAACGTTTTAGATCGACACAAAGGATACCGTATTAAATAATACTAATAATGTTAAATTACATAGCTGTCATAATTGTCATTCACTTACCGGGGTACGGAATTCGGAACCACGACGAATCTCCTATAATCCGAATCTTAACGTCAGTTCTGGCAGGATGTCCGACCGGGAAGTAATCAGTCATAGTGAGCACCCCGCACAGTATCCACATTATCATTATGGTCAGCAACACCTAAACAGCATGGCCAAAAATACCGAAAACCACGGTATTATTTTGTTTCTGTCTTCGGGCAACGAGTATGCAGAGTGTTTCGCTAAGCGGTACAATACGATATTGTGCACAAACAAATATTTTATATTGTTGAATTTAAAGGAATTAACATTTGTCCTATAATGCGTTTAATGCAGTATATTTTAGTAGTACAACATAATATGAATAAAGTCGAAAATATTAATTGTGCATCAAACAAGAAATAAATTATAACGAAAATCAAGTTGATAAAATTCAAAACATTTCTCAATATTAATAATAACGTAAGGAACAAGAAGAAAGAATATTTATAATTAACAGGTATGTGGAATAAATATAAAAATAATGATATATCATTAAATAATAATTATTATTTATTGATGTTGGGATCACTTTTTTGTGCTAAAAAGTTATATGAACTTGATTTTTATTTTATTTTCTTATTTTTGTTGTTGTTTTTTGACACTTAATTATGTTGTATTTTAATATTATTTATTTTTGACTATACGTGTTATGTTATTATTGATATTGGAAAATTGTTTGAATTTTATTAACTTATAAAAATATTATTATTATTATTGTAAAATATTTTACATTAAATACACTTTAGTACAATTATATAAATATATATAAATAAATTATAGGACATTTGTTAATTTTTTTGAAATCCAACAGTATAAAATATTTGTGTGTGCTCAATCGTGCTGTATTTGCTTAAATAAAAAAAGGTAATATCTGTGCAATTGTGTTACGCTCCCGGTTAGGATATATTCATTGCCTAATATTTCTGAAGATAATGTTTTTAAAAAAAATTTGAAAAAAAAAAAGAAAAACGAAATTTGATTAATTTCATTATGCGATGACATCGCGATGCAACATCGATGCAAAGACATCGCATCGGATATATTTTCTCGAAACACTCTGTATAATAAGAGTAATAATAATTTTTGTAGGTATATGGCTTGTATACAGTGGTTATGTACGGCTTACCGGAAACAATTGGAACACGTTGAATTTGACCATTGTGAAGCCTTTTGTCTTGCTGTATGTGGGTACCGGTATCTGGACGTCGACGAGGAATTGCGAGAACAGCGTCAACAGAATTATCGTACTAATGGCGGAAAGGAACAGAAAAAAATAAAAATAAAATGTTAAACGGACGAAATAGTAAACAATCACAGTGTGTATGTGTAACAAGACGTTCGGACTGTAGTGCATTGTCATGCGCGTAAAGCGCACACTAGTGTTCTGCGTGGTCCGTATTCTTTCAGGTATGGCCGAATTGGAATGATTCAGAGGTTGGATCAAAGACGATTCGAACGCACGAAGTTGCACTAAACCTAAATATGGGAGGTAGACTAACTGTACCTTGACGAGAATACCAGAAAAAAGTTAGAGGAAAAGATCATTTTTAGAAGCCACCTCTGGCTCAGATCAAGATTAGAGCGAAATGAACCGCAAATCAGGTTAGGAAAATATTATGATGATTTCGGTCAGATTGAATAATAATTTCCTTCGAGGTTGACGGTTCGAAACAAAATCATTTGAATCAAAATGCAATTAAAACACCACGAGGTAAAAAAACAACTCTTTTGAAGCTAAGCAGTATACATTTTGTCTACTGAATGCTTGAAACAAAATTTAAATAGTTTTCACCAGATACTCGGAAGACGTGAGAGAATTTGTGAAACAAGATCCGATTTACGTCACGAAGATGACATTTTAAAGCTTTTCGTTCTCAGGTGTTATAAAAAGGTTTGGATAAGGATCGTGTTGAAAAACGGTATTTTCATTGCAATATCGATCTGAGCCGAACCGATTACACGCGATCACCGGGTTTATCTTCACCGGCCGAACCGATACACCACGGTGATCGGCAGGGTCGGTGAGAGGTTGGGGTAGGGAGACCCGGGGCTCTTACGTCCGAGAGGACCCAGCCTTTCATGTAATATTTTTATTGGCGCGGAACTAAGGGGTGGAAGATGGGTATTCATCTCCGGGCGTAATATTTTAGAGGGTACAATTTTTGTAATTATTAACAACTAATTTGATATTTTTAACTATGTTAAATACTGGTATTAGGTTAAAATTCAATAAGTATGATTGTATATTAATTATTAGAAAAAAATTCCCGAGAAGAGTATTTGATTATTGGTCTATATAGGGCGTAATTTTAACATTTTCCCCGGGAGTGAAAATTCCTAGTTCCATCTCTACAAGCAGTACGTATATCTTGATCAAACGAGTGCAATTGAAGGTGGCTTGGAACCGATCGGCCCCGGGGCCCTCGAAAGTTCTCACCAGCCCTGTGAAGATCGGACCTCGTACAACACTGCTGCGCACCCGTAACGTAGCGCCGTCGCCACACCGCGTCCACCACTCACCCCATGGATATTCCCCAATTCTTGGAGGCGGATTCAGCTGCGTTTTCGAACAGCGACAAGCCCACCAGCGACACGGTGGGGACGATCGTTAGCGGGGTCACATACTTGATTATCTTGCCGATCAGACCTGAAAGTAGCGGTCGGTTAAGGGCCGTTGGGTCAAACCCATGTCGAGCAGAGCCGACCGAGATCGGACCACCAAGAAGTTTTAATGTGCTGGAGGAAAAAAAAACATCGAAAAGTCCCTAAAACGCAAAACCCCGTGGTCGTACTAACTTTACAACGGTCGATCGTATTGCCGCGGACCCGTTAGCGCTGCGGACGAGCGTACTGTCGGTCACGATTTTACGATGGAACAATTACTATGCGGTTAGCGGTGCTCGACGGTCCGAACTTTTTTATCCTACCCGCCGGTATTCGCATACGATCGAAACGCTCGTTACGCGCATCCCTCGCATCCCTCTCTTGCCACGGTGATATACTCGTATATTTCCGTTGTTCCGGAGGTAAACGAATAAACGAGTCATATATGTGTGTTGCGATTGTCAGACGCTACAAGACCGCACTTGTCTGTTAAGCCGGGTGCCACGCGAATCGTGCACTCGGTGAACAATCGTCAATCGTTATGCTTTACGAGTCGTGCAGGAGGTTAGGTTAATCGTCGAATAGGGCGATCGTTTTTATCCTTTTTATCCTGATGTTTTATGCACTGTCGTTCGGATACGCGAAACGAAAAAAAACATTTGAATAGTAGAGGGTCTCTATAATGGAGGTTCGGATAATTAAGGTTCTACTGCAATTACATTAATGTCTGTTGAATTTACTGTTGTAAATCCCGTTACCGATACTTACCGGAGTATCCGATGAACACCTGAAACAAAGCCGATACGGCTATTGCACCGGAAAGCTCTCTCATTCGCACTTGCCATAGTTCCTCTTGTTCCGCGGCGTTCATGTTATTGATAACGTCCGACGAAGGACATCTCCACTGCGGTAGTTTCAAAATCGCCAACGTCGGAACGAGAAACGATATCGTTCCTCCTTGCACGATCGGCAGCCTGTCGAGAAATCGTCAAAAACCTTAACTGTCAGTAACATTTTGCCAATTGTATTGTATTCAGTGAAATATTATATTTTAATACCATGGATTCGCAGAACATTGCAATGACGTTCTAGAGATATAACAATGGTGGGATTAAAATTAAAAAAATGTTGCAAAATAAGCCGCGAAGGGCTTGGTGGTCAGTTGAGCCCTACCACAACTGCAGTACAACAATATACTACAATAAATCCTTAGTTCATATCATTATTGTTATAATTTTTATTTGATTTATAATAAATCTAAAGGAAATATCAATTTTACGGATTATTTTTAAGAAAAAAAAAAAAATGTTATGGGGATCTATCTCCACAATATCATTCCCACCAAAACTCTCGTATCAACTATCATCGCAACTTGTGCGTAATATTTTTAATGTCTTTATATATTTCATTATGTATATACTCGTTACGCGATTTTGATTTTGATTTTTTCTTCAACGTCGAATAAACACCGGCTGCATGATGTATGTACATTTACCTCTCAGAATATGCCCTTATTTATCGCCTGATTATCCATCAATAATTATAACATTTAATCCGAAAACAAATAATGTGCTTTAAACCATTTGTTTTTTTTTTTTAATCGCGATGATATCTTTATTGGGACCATACGCGCGCCCGTACAGACAACAATAAAAAGATTAAACGTAAATTGTATTACATGTTACGCGACTGGCATTGATGCGGTTAACAAGAGAATCGTACTCGAAACGCATCGCATTACTAAAATCGATAAATTAACCTACATAGTAATTCAGACGGTTAAGTCGTATACGCCGTATTAGATTGTTATTGTGTATAGTTATCGCACGACGTCGCTTATGATAATAATACCATAACGAACCGTACATTTCACTACGCAAAGCGAATGCTGTATTGCGTTAATTTTGTACCAGCCGTTCATCCGCACCGTTTATTTGTGTAACAATACACGTGTACAGTACGAGTGCTAAAAAAAAACGTATCTTATGACATCGTACAATAAGGGTCTTGGGATTTTGCGCCAAAAATTAATAACCAATATGAGTATACATTTATTTTGTTCGCGAATTATTTTGAATCGCTCGAGACGAGTGTAGACAGAGTGTGAACCGAGTAAACAAAAGTCTATCAGGTCTTAAAATATAATTTAGAACACAATTGTTAATGCGGTCGTTTCCCGACATTTGCGTGATAGCACGACCTATTAGCTTACTGTTTTTAATTTTCTTTTTCGTCAGTAACACGAAATTAATAAAATAAACGGAGTAGCATTAATTATAATCACGAAACACTTTCGAATGTTAATCATTCATTTTTTTAACAGGAATTCCGTTCATGTTTACATTTAAACATACACAATTATTAAAAACCATACGAAACATTATTATTTCAGTACTACCTGTTTACCTGTTAGTGGTTACATTTAATGTAAACATAATTTATGTCCACGTTACATCGTAGTTTTAATTTTTTAATTTATAATAAATAAATGGTTTTTTTTGTCCTATAAACTTTTGATATTCACTTTGTCTACTTCAAATTAAATGATGCCAAGAACAATGTATTCAACGGTAACAATTGTCTATTACTTCAAAATGATATATGGATAAATAATTTAATTATTGAATTAATTGAATTATTCCTGTGATTGTTAAGCGCAACAGTAAGAAGGGTTTAAATATAATATCGCATTCATGTGCGAATATATTTTGAATTTTGATTAAATTAATTCAATATTGACTGTTAACAATTATTATTATATGTACACGATGCAATTTATATTTAAAGTCCCTGTGCATACAATATTTTTGGGCAACCAAATAACTAGTGTGGCTTAAAAGGACGCCTCATCCGTATGTGATGTCTCCGTCTGGCAAACGTACAATATATACAATTTGCGTTCAGTAGTTCAAATGTACCTATGTTAGTATTATAACTGACCTATAATCCGACGTAAAAGGAAGAATTTTATCTGTGTTTTGTTGATCGATTTTTCCCGACATTTTAATTTCTAAACGAATTACGAATACATAAAGTATTACGATTAAAATAACTCATAATTAATTTAAAAATTAAAATATCGGAAAAAATTGATCAACAAAATATAGATAATGTAATAAAGTATTATAATAGGTCAGTTTACTTTAATATTAAATCTGACATCATTGCATTTGAATCACTGAACGCAAATTCGCTATGTTGCACGTGTCAGAGATAGACAACATATACGAGTGTGACGTCCTCTTAATCGAAATTCGTTGGTGTATTCGATTTCGTCATAGTAAGAAAATTCAAGCACTTACAAAAAAAAAAAAATCAAGGGTGACTCAAGATTTTCAAAAATTGTCTACACATAAGTAAGAAGATTGTATGTTAGAATCATTGTATTGCATTTTAAAGACGTTTTTGTACAAATCAAAATAATTTTTCAGCATATTACGAACAAAAACTTAGAAAAAATAATTAATTCAAATATAATAATAGCGCAAAAAAAAAAAATAAATAATTTTTAAAGACTGATGGTAATAGGATTAATTTGAGAATTTGAGTTAAGACAATAAAATTAGATTTTGTTGAAAACAGATATTATTTATTATTTTTATACTGAAATGGAAATTATCTAATAATATACCATACAATTAAACAATCGACACAGATAAATTATAATATAAAAATTTAAAAATACGAATGTTCAGTTTAAAATAAATAAAATAAATACATATCCAGTAAATGTAACTGTTTTATTTTGTTATTTTTCGTAAATTTTCTCTTATAATTTAAAACACTGTAGAGAAATTAAAAAAATTACCCAATGGATGCACCATTTAGACACCATTTCCTATTATAAACCATCCTTTCTTTTGATAACCGAGTCAATCCCAGTAGTTTAATTTTTGAAAAAAGCATAAAAAACCACATCATGGTAAAACCTGCAATTAATTCCTCGCTTCTTTCAGAATCTGAAATACGATTTTTTTAAAAAACTTTTTAGCTTGCAAATGTAGTTTAATATGTTTTTAGAACGACCATTATACTGATGAAACAAAGTAGATTAACCCATCAACCGAGACAATTATTTTTCTTTCTATCATTATTTGTAACGTTTATATATATATATATACATACAATGGGAAATGTTCATGTAAATATTCATATTTTAAACGCATATTTAAGTGTAATTTGCATATTTTTTTGTCTACATATTTTAATGACGTTAAAACGTATTTTGAAGGTCTTGCCAGACTTTAAAACAAAACGGTACGAATTATTTTTTTCATACTTTGGAATGTTGAACACGTTTAATAGCGAAGTAATAAACTACATTCATAATAATATATGTGTATTTATTCGCTTTTATTTTTGCTTTCATTTGTTTTAAATATCTTTTATCAATATGTACCCACGCACCAAATGGCCATCTGCCGTTTGGCGTTTATTCGACGACTAAATAAATCAATGTTGGTCAACGAATGATGTCCGATACGACAAGAAGAAGAAGAACGGATGATGTCCAACGAGGTTTATAGTACCTATACCTCGTATTTTAATGTCAGTCACATTTTTTAACGTATACGTTATTTAAATTATTTTAATAAACCTAAAATACAGTTGAATTACATTATTTCAATGCATCAATGCAGTTATGTAATTAGTATGGCGTACGTGCGAGTAGAATATGCGTCATCAGAAATAAGAAGGTCAAAGGGTAAAAAAAAAACATAATATGTTTTTTTCTGATTTCCGCTGAATAGCACATTTTACGTAAACAGCAGAACACCGCATAGTATTTCCATAATAAGCACATTTTATTTAACATCGTGTTACCAAACGTTGTTGCTGGAACATGCATAAATACGAATAGAGCACTTAGTTATAGACAGAAAGTAGTCAGTCATAAGCGTGCGCAGAAATAAATTACTGGCAGGGTAGTCATACACAACACATTGGCATTTAATATTAACAACAAATTTGGATGAGGTAACTTCATTTAACTTAATGGTTATATTTTTCCAATATTCTTATACACGGATTTACCGTTTACGAACGTTTCGAAGCGGTTGAACATAATATGGTTATTTATTATGGGGATAATATTGAATATTTTGGTGAGGGAGGGAAGGTGCACAGAGTAGTCAAGTGTCTTCCTGACTATCCCATGCGCACGCTTATGGTCACAGTTCTAGACTAGCTGTTCACTCTTTGTTAAACTTTTTATCGTCGTGAACTTTGTCACCACTACATCGTACTTAGTCATCACCAGTAGGTACTAGTAATTTTTAAACGACAGTGAGCTATTTTTATTTGAATCATTGTTTATGGTGTTAATAAATTATTGTAACTTAAAATTACTTCAAAATACAAACGTTGTGTTTATTAACTACCTAACATTTCACAATCACCTCAAGTCAACCAGGAACGCGCTACGTCGTTAAACGGTTAATATGATGACAATCTTAGTGCCCTACTACAACAGACAACTACATAAAGAACTGTAACGATTCACAGCCTAGAGTACAACGAAATAAATATATAGAACTACCGAATCGGTTACTAGTTTTGGCTGTAAGTGATTTTAAGTTTACGTAACATACGAATTAGATAACTCATTAGAAAACATTTTGAAAACCCGTTTGCGTTATTTTCTAATATACATATTAGTTAACGATTGATATTTTATACTACTGTATCCTTGGCTGTGAATCGTGATAATTCTGCAACATTATTTGTTACGATATACGACGAGCGTATAAAATCACTATTCATTAATTCGTTGTTCATAAACGGTATATACCTACAACCGAACGTGACCTGTGCGTACGTCACTATGGCGGTTACGAATATCATGGTGGATATGATGTGACCTCGGGCTGGATCGTCCTCGCGCATGCACAGTGCCGGCGTAAGGATGAACGGGATGGACACGATGGCTCCGATCATCGTGAGGTAATGCTGCAAAACGTAAACAAAATATGACCCACGGAACCGACGAGTTTTTCGATCTATTATCATTGATCGTCTCCAGGGGCCGGATAAATGGAACGGCCGTTTATCGAATAAAATCGCAATATCAGTTGTAGTCCGATCGACAAAACACGGCTTAACTCGAGCGTATTTACCATGTGTGCAAACAAATCAGTTCTCTGCAATGTAGTTCGTCGGCTCGAAACTCATAAAATCGGTGAATACCGAATACCTAATGTCGAATACCAGGGGGAACGTTTCAAGGCACGAAATGTTCGATCCGAAGTGTTTATACCGAACCGTCGTCTGAACACGGAGGTGTGGAGATAGCTTTTCGAATTGTCTGACGAAACGTCGTCGTTGTTCGGTTAAATCCTGTCCCGGCGCACCCAGATCACATTAGACGACTGGGTTCCCGGACTTAAGGGACACAATGGTCGTTGGTAAAAAAATGCGTTAGACTTTGTCGATTGGGTGAATTGCACAACTAACGTTGAGACGGTGATAACAAGACAGAACGTAAAAATAACGGATTTCGGCGTCAGTCGGCTGCAACAATGTGCTTGATTGTTTGTCGTGGAAAATCGTGTACGTGTGTACGTTGCGAGAGGGAATTGGGGTAATGAAAAATATTGTGATCCGTTCGCCGTGACTCGTTATCGCATGTCGTTTATCCCAAAGATGGATTAATATTTACTCGTTCGCGAACCGAGAACGATGTTTAACGTACACCAACATCATGGTTTTTACCCCGTCGCCGGCGGTCATAGCAACACGTTTTGCCACGTACCTGCAGGGCCATGAAGATGCACAAGTACCACGGCGGGTTGTCATCAATGCCGTAGGTGATCGTGAGCCCCTCGGCGCGCCTGGAGTCGGTCTTTCCGTTCTCATCGATCGATTGATTCGACACCAGTTCGTTCGTCTGAAAAGCAAACGGCAGTGTACTCTAGATTTTACTCAGCACTAGATCCCGCGCTGTGTCCCGGAAAGGGTTCCCTCGATTGCCGAACAACGGCAACGCGCGTGCGGTACGTCCCTACCCACACCAGTGACGGTCATGATATAACATCAAGGGGGGCTATTTTCAGCTTTTTGCCCCCCCCCTACGATTACATGTATCGAATGAAGAAAAATTCATTATGTTTATGTTTCTATTATGAATGACATAACTTTCATTTTTTATTTCATAATCTCAATAGCTTAATTTTATTGGAACGTAAAATATAATAAAAAGTCCTTAAATTCTGAAAAACCCCGATCAAACACGACTAGCTTAACCTTATTAATTCTAGTTGTGGGTCTGTCAAACTTCCGCTAACGGTGTATTTGTCTATTGTTATCAATTTAATGTTTCATGCTGATGCGAAAAAATAGTTTGAACATGTATCGTGAAAACAATAGAACGTACAATATATAACAGTTAACATAAAAAAAATCTAAGGGGGCGAGCGCTCCTTTGCCTCCCCTAAAAACCGTCACTAACCCGAACGTATATTACTATTCCCCCGGACGAACCTTACGTGTTCGCACTTGCGTCATCGTTCGTTCCGTTGCGGGTTACGCATTTAGGGGACGGGCTTTCGAAACGAATAGATAGAAACAGCGCCGGGTCAAACATTTGTGGACCCCTAGGCAATTACAACTTTGGGCCCTACAAAATTATTTTTTTACATACATCTTTAACATTACTATCCAATAATTAAAATAAACACCTTTAATAATAACCAACTAATATTAATAAAATAATGTTTATTGATTTATTTTATTATTATTATTATTATTACATGTAACACCTACAAATTAATATATATTATATTTCATAATGGCTTTTCTCTTGTAAATTCATAAATAAAATACAGGTATTATTAAATAAAAAAAAATATAGTTTTCCGTTTTCACAGGGTTCTTTAAATGAGTGAGGCCTTAAGGCGGGCGCCTATTCCACCTTATGGGTGAAAATTGTGTGAATCAATCGCTTGCCAAGAGTACCTACCACGGGATCGCAAAAATCAATTTTCAATCACATCTCGCGGAGTATCGCTCAAATCGGATGCCATTGGACCAAGAGCAGGCAGGAATATTTCTATGTATACAAAGTTTTCCGAAGTACCAACGAAATTACGTTTATACGGCGTGGAGGTAATATGATCGCGTAATATTTCCACGCGTTGGTACGCTGTGCAATTCACCGGCAAGTTGCGATGGTAAAACAGATGACCCCACCCCTATTTACTGGTGATCTACATACAGCACAAATCACGGTTATAGATGTATTTAATGTATTTATCCAAAATATTTTTATAACATCGAAAAATACCGTTTTTACCATTTGACTATGAGGGGTTAAAAATAATATTATTGTACAGCAACGAATAAATAAAACGAAACGATTATTTCAAAACTGTCCACGTTTATTATTACTCTCAGGATGTTATTGTTTAAATATCATCCAAAAAGATTGTGAACAGTACATCCTTTTCGTTGACTTGAGACTCGATCAAACGTCCATGTAACATTTTTGGTGTTGTACCGCGATTTTTCCAATATTTTAAGTTTCAAAATCGACCACTGACACTCATATTGTTTGGTACATCATAATTTATCTTTGATAATTGATATCACATTGTTGTACTATTATCTAACTTTTATTTCATTTTGTTTTTTTCATTACAGTAGAACCTCTATTTCCGCCATCAGCTAGTTCGCTATACCGGTTGATTCGAACATAGTATTATCAATATGAATACTTAAAAAAATAAGTGCATTTGGATTTCCCAATTTATACTGTGTAGCTAGATATATTTATAAAATTAATTTCCAGATTACTATTTATCTATTTTTTTATTTATTTAACCTTCCAGCGGGCGCACCACTATTTGAAACAAGAGTAGTCGCGCGTTGCAAATTTTACAACAGTTCTAATATGCTGTGATAATCGTACATATTATCTGTATATATAAAACAATAAGCTGATTGACTGCTATCAACGCACAGCTCAAACCATTTGACGGATCTGGCTGAAATTTGGCATAAAGATAGCTATTATGATGTAAACGTGCGCTAAGAAAGGATTTTTCGAAATTTTGAATTTAAATGGTTGAAATCGGTTTAATATTTTTTGACCAGGTCGATAACTGCGCTATTGAAAATGAATTATATTAAATAAAACTATTAAAAAATTATTAAAAAACTATTAAAAACTATTTAAAAACTATTAATTTTATTTTTGGTAGTAAATGACGGGTATTGCATAAATATTAAACAAAAAGATCCCGCAACAGGTGCCAAAACAAATAAGAATGTTAGTTCAAAAAATTATTATGCATATCGGTTGATGATTAGACGTGATCAGGACTAAGTTATTTTACGATGCATAAGCTTTGTCAACAATTCATGGTCGAAATATATATAAAGATAGATAGCGAACGATTTCGATACTTCGATTTCGATTCAATCAAAAAAAGCTGCGTGCAAAAGATTCTCAAAACAATTGTTAGATATTGGAGATGGGAAAGTTACTACAGATGAAACGGGATGTATAAAATTACCGAACGATTTCTGCACAATCATTTATTCGCAAGATGCTCTCATTGACCAGATATGTCGCAGTGTACACAGACAATACACAAATCATGAGTGGCTGGCAGAAAAAGCAATTTTAGTAGCAAAAAATGTGGAGGTCAACGAATTGAATCTCATGATACAAAATTTGTTACCAGAAAACTTGGTGTCATACAAATCTAGATACAGTTTGCGATGCTACTGAAGTTGTAAATTATCCAACAGAGTTTTTAAACTCATTGAATTTACTAGGCATGCCACCGCATAATTTACAATTGATCATTATAATTTACCATAGATAAAATACCTCCTTCAGAGTCATTTAAAGTTGTAATACATGCAGATAAAAAACCACCAGAAGAACATAGAGGCAGGTATAATGCACCAACGGCAAATGAAGTTGCTTTAGTGTTAGTAGATCAGCAGTTTGATCGAAGAGACATCATCCTCGAAAACCGAAGTAACTCACTTCACCGTATCAGTGAGATACATCGAGCATAATATGCACTACAGTATCCTTTAATGTTTTGTTGGGGGGGATGATGGGTATGCAATCAATATACCACAACGCGATCCAAAAACCAAGTTACCGCTTAAAAAAACTGTCTCTGCATCAAGTTTTTACTCATATAGAATAATGGTCAGAGAAGGAGAAGACAACTATTTAGTTAATTATCGTTCTCTTTTTAGTCAATATTTGGTAGATGAATATGCCAAAATTGAAACTGAAAGATTAAATTACATCAAAAACAACCAAGCCAAATTGCGTGCAGATAGTTATATTCATTTAAAAGATGCGATTGGACGACAAGACATAGAAGCTAATCAGTTAGGCCAAATGGTTATACTCCCGTCAACTTTTACTGGTAGGCCAAGGTACATGCACGAAAGAACACAAGATGCTATGACCTACATTAGATATTACGGTCGTCCTGACTTTTTTATTACTTTTACATGTAATCCTCGCTGGGACGAGATAAAAGAGCTCTTACTTCCCGGTCAAAGATCATATGATCGACATGATATAATTGCAAGAGTGTTTCGGTTAAAAGTCAAAAAGACCATGAACTTATTGACAAAAGGTAAAATATTCGGAGAAGTGAGATGCTATATGTATTCAACAGAATACCAAACTGTAGAGAGGTTCAGGTAGTTGTAAGCTATAACTTATCGAATAGGTTATGATAATAATCATTATCTTAAAAACTAAATTAATATAAATAAAATATTATTTCAAAAATCTTAATTAATTTAAATTTCAATAGATTTAACAAAATTTAATCTTGGCACGTTACATACATTTATATACTTAAACCCGGCAACGACGGGTAATTCAGCTAGTATCTAATAATGTAAAAAAAAATAAAAATGTATATGTTACATAATAATATAAAATAATACCTTACATATTTTTGTTCTTATAACCACACAAAAATAAAAATTATTAAATAATAACTCAGGTACACCGAACGTACACACGTTTTGTGTTTGGCGTAGGTATACGGAATGGCATGTGTTGTATTTTGCGACAACACTATAAATACTTCATCAATTGTCTGCAATAAAGTGAACTGAAACACTTCAAAAATAGTCTAAAACGTAGAAAATAACATTTCGGAGGAATATCCATGACCGTCGATAAGATAAAAAATATAAAAATATAAAAAAAATAGAATATAAGTTGAATAAACAAATAAATATAAAACTGTTGTACTATTTACAACAGCGTGCTCGCTGGAAGGTTAATTTAATATATGTATGTAATTAAAAATAATATTTAAAATAATTGAATAGATAAATTTGATAAAATGTTGTCTTCAAATGTTTCTGTATACTCTGATAATTCGACTTTTTTCGCGTTCCGAACACGCACTCAATCACGAAGGTGACGGATTGGAGGAGTTCTATCGTATATTTAGCTGTACAAATAATCATCTCGTATATGCGTAAACTACTTATCGTGGCTAGATTACTAACACCCAATACATCAAACGGTGTAACCGCAACGACTATTTTCATTAACTTCTTTTTCCGATGGAGTAAAAACGAAAATCACAAATAGTATTGGTTTTCAAAATATATACGAAAAACATATGTATATTATTTACGATTATTAAAAATATAAACTTTTAATTTACCGATTACTATTAATCGATGGTTTTTGTAGGTTAACGATGAATATTAATTGTATTAATTGTATGGTTAACAATTGATTATTTAAAACTATATCTTGTAAGATACGAGTATAATGTTTTAAACTTGAGTTTAGTTTAATGTAATTATACGCACTTCATCGTATGCAAAACTGTTATAAATATAAAGGAATTCATTGAATAAATACTCTATAATGTTAGATATAACACAACTATTGCCTTTCACTAACATTATTATTAGTACGATAAATACGTAAAACGCAAATTGATTTCAACGCTTGATATTTTAATATTTTAAGTTTATACGTATATTTTTAAGTAATGGTTACAATTTAAACTGTACAGTGTAATATTTTCAATTTATAATAAAAGTTAATTTATTATAGTAATAAAAAAAAAATAAATAATAATAATAGAAAAAAATATTATTGACATGGTTTGAAACGTTGTGTTTAAAACAGAATTTTCAAATACAAATGTGGTCAACTTAAGAGAACAATTAATTTTAATGAGTCAAGTCATGACAATAATGTTGGATTATAATTATTTTTTTTTCACATACCTTGACTGTACTTTAAGTTAAACGGGAAAAACCAAGTTATTATAATGGTAACAATGTACTTCAATCGTTGTTCAAAAAGTTAATTAAAAGTTAGTTTAATAAAAAGAAAATGTTGTAAAAAATTTTTTATCCGAAAACGTTTTGAACAGCGGTCATCAAAGCCGCACACTTACCGTTCATAACCATCGTTCAATATCGCACACATTTATTCTATTGTTAAAAAGGGAAATTTGAAAGGTCGATAGTTCAAAACCGCACACATTTAATTAACAGTTCTTTCTCCCTACATACTTTGTATGTACGGTTCACGTTACCGTTTCATATGATTCCCACTCATAATCGTTTTTTTTATCCTGTGACCTATTTGGGGTGGTGTTGCATAGCAGATCGGGGGATATTTTCGTTTTTAACTGTCCGCGCGAGCGCAGCGAGCGAATGATCCCACCCGGTCTCGAAGTGCACTCATGTTATTTTAGATAAATATATACGTTATTGATACATATCAATGTGTGCCGTATTGAACGGTTTAATTTGGCGGACATATGTGGGATTAAGATATAAAAATGTGCGGTTTTGAACGACGATCTGTTTTTGAAAGTATGCGATTATGAACGACGCTCGTTTTGAACAAGACAATTTTCAAATGTTACGTACCTATTGTACACGTACATCTATGTGTTAAATATAATAATATAATATTAAATACAATATTTCTGGAAACTTTGAAATCCTGGCCAAATGTGCAACAAACGAACATAAATCGATCTCATTCCATATACGTCTTGCCAGTGGCGGTGGCCGGATTTTTGTTTTTAGGAGGCTAAAAATTATAATGTAGGGCCACAAAAAATTAGATTTGAGTAAAAAAAAAAAGAAAATAATAAAGAATAATGATTAGCATGAACTTATGAACTAATTACCAAATTTTAAAATTTAAAATGATTACAACACTAAGATAAAACTACGATTAAATAATTCTGCAATTTTCGTGTGTATCGGAAAACTTGTTCATTATTTCATCAATATTTACCTTATGGTTTTGTTTCACGTTTTTCGATTGAAATATTAAACTTATAAGGTTAGTAAACTACTGTTTAAAAACTCTTTACACGTTTTACATATAAAAATTTACGATTACATGCAGCTGTTGGCACAGGTATCGTTTAGCAATGGTACATAATTTATTTTTCTAAAAGTCTTCATATTTCTTAAGAAAATTATGAAATAGGATAACATCTTTAATTTTAAATTATTTTTTGTTTCATAACGGTTCATGGACTTTTGTAATATTTTTAAATTCTATTTTAGATATACTATGTTAAACAAATTATCTTTTGAAAAAATAAGTGTGGTGTCATATGTTAAAATTTTTTTTTTAAAACTCAAAATTGAATTTAATTAAATTAAAATAGAGCAATTACCCAGCTTATTATATCAAAATTATCACCAAACATTTTATCCAACTCATTTGTTATTGCGTCTAAAATACAATAGAATATTCCAGATCTAAATTTTTTTTAGTGCTTTTTTTTCTTATACAAATTTGTCTAACCCTTTTGGTATTTGTTTAATTTTTGCAGTTGGATGAGTAATATTACAAACTTTTAAAAAATATCTGTCGCTTCATTATAAAATAACTTATGTTTTTCAAGATTTCTCAGTTCCAAAAAGCATTTTTAGTGTAGATTTTATCAACATTATACTGAAAGCCATGTAATTATCATAAAATATAATACGGCAGTACATTAATCTAAATTACATATGGTGAACAAATACTATTATTTTCTGATTATGAAAAATAACTATCCTATTATGTCTAAGGCTACTGGTGGGGCGAGGCATTTTTAGTAGGGCCCTAACACTGCGGTGTCAATTGTGAGAGAAACAACTCATGAATTTGCTACGGTCTGGGGTTTAGCGATTCCAAAGTCGGCACATCATGAAAATATAAAGCTATTGATGTTGTAAATCAGAAAAACGATACGTGGTACATCCCGGGTACTTGTGTACAAACGTACAAATCATTATGTTTTCGGACCGGTTTGACGTGCCCCTACCCAACGATAATCGGCACCATTGCGTCTCGCCTCGAGATTGTTACGGAACGAAATCACACGGGATAATAATATTAATAGATTTAATAAATCATGAATCACGAAACGTGTGAGAGAGAACGACAACGATTGAAATGTGAAAAATAAAAAAAATAAATAAATAATTATGCATCTCAAAATCCGTTGTCGAATTATCAAACGGGTGTTGGACTTACGCTCAAGTTGATGTTCACAAATCTTCTCGGGTCGTCCATGGCGGGCGGCAGCGGATCAGAACGACGTTCGGTCGAGCGCGGTCGTCCGTCGTGGCCAAAAGCGATTGGAGCAATGAGAGCGAACCGAACAAACGGTTGATCAATCGTTTCGGAACGGGGCCCGCGGGGGTGTTGTTGATCCGTGCACGGTCCTCGTGCGTTATCTTATCGGCACGAGAGTAAACAATACGGTGCGTACATGTCCACGTGTTATATTACTTCTTCTGCCGCCGTCGCCAATAGAGCGAAACTGCTCAAAGCCGACTAAGGAGGCACCATTATTACGACGGATTAAAAACGGAACACGTGCGATTATGAAAAAACCAACACGCTGATAAGTCATGGTCGTATAGAAAATAAAAAAACATTTTTGCCCTTCGGTCGACTCCAGCTATGGGGCTAATCGGGTTTTTATCGAAACGGAACACGCGCTCTGTTCATTCGGTCCGAGTCGCGTACGATTTTTTTTTTTTTTTTTTTAATTTTAGCTCGTCATTACGCGTAAAAAAAAAAAAAAACCCGGAAAGTGTCACGGGCAAACCTCGGAAGATGTGAAAACATATACATGAGCTTTGAGGATTTATTAAGTACGATTTGAAGTGAACATTCTTAAACACGTGATTTCGTATTATTTGCAGGATAGGACTGCAAATGTTTAAGAATTATTATATTTGTTGAAAGAGAGAACGCATTCATCGTTCTATCTTTGTCGTGTTGGGTGAGGTTCGGGGTACGGGGCCGGATGGTAGTATGTGACCATCCAAACTTTTCCCTCCGTGCCACCGCGCCGATATCGTGTGCACGGACATTTTAATATTTCTAACAACCGTTTAATTTATTAGACAATTGGACTTTTATCATCCGGTGGCTCAACTGCACGCAAAGTGCTAGAAAAAACTAAACTTTGCAAACCGGTCCAGCAGTACTTCACAGATATAACTTTCATAAGAATCGCCTCTCCTTTTAACAATGAAATAAGTACCGAGCGTTACGCGAAAAAGGAAACGTTCGAAAATCTTCACTGTCCAAGCGGAAAAGACGCATTATAAATAAATCAATTTTTGTACGTTCCCCCCCCCCCAAACAGGGACAAGGATAACGTATTCTCCGTACGACACGAATCGTTTAACCGTCTATGGGTCGAAGCTGAGATCGAACCCAAAATCGACTGAACAAGCCTCGATCAGTTTTCGTTGCTCCGGCGCAGAGGTCCGACTCGCGTATTGACCGCAACAGCATTCCGTCTTCGGCGCGCCGAAACACTTCAAAGAAAAAACAATATGTACATATACGTACATAAATAAAAAATGGGCCCCGCAGTCGTCGGAAACGCTTCGGCGCTACGGTCACGTTTTCCCCGGTGGCAAGTTCAATATCGTCGTCTGGTGCGCGCGGGAAAACGAAAAAATATCTGTTTCGGAAATCGTTCGCCGTCTCGGGGGTTCCTCGCGTCCCGACGACGAAGATTAGTGGACCGCACCGAAGTGTATATTGTTCAATAATCGACGTCGGGCCGACAACCGTCACGGGGCCGAGGTAAATAATGGTATTATAAACCGTACCGATAAACCAAGTCCAGATGTGGAAGGATGGTCCGGTGGCTCGAGGCTTTGTTTTTTCTTTTTCTCAAAATACATACCTATGCGAACAATGTGCATGTAAAATGTTCGAAGTGATTTAAGGTACGTTTTTCCTGCAACGTTCACGGACGCATTGTCACTACTGTATATACGCGTCGGTAAATAACGCAGTGCGCACTGTATGGCGCGGATCCAGGGGTAGAGAATATTGGAGACAAGTGCTACCCCTGTTGGAAAATATATAACATTAAAAATAATGGATATTTAGAAGAACTAAATAATAGATTATAAAAATAAACGTTGACAATTTTAGTTCGATATCGTCACATTTTTTTTCGGAAAGGAAGGATAGAATACCTAATACAATCCCTACAAACACTTTTGATCAGCTGTATTATATAATTTCTCCTATAAAGTGCCCCGACTGTCAAATAGATGCTGGATCCGTCCTTGTTGTTATGATTATTGTTTAGCGTCTACACATTAAAAAAATGACCGAACAATTTGTGCAACCGAGGATGCAATACTTATTGAATTGGTTGAACAAATGTAATTTTTTCAGAATATGCGATAAAATAAAATACAATTGTTCAATATTTTTATGAAAAAATTCTCAATATTTTGATTAGTAAAAAATGTCCTTCTTCAAATTGTTTAAAAAAAACCTACAGTTTTTCTTGTAGACACTATACTGTTGAATGTATTATACTTCTGTTTAAGAATTGTGCGAAATGCGGTTGTACACAAACCGATAAATTACTGTGCGTATATTTGTAGGGAGAGTGAGGATACCGAGATCAATAACCAAATAAAATATTTTGACTAAGAGCCAACGAGACATATTTATTATAATAACACAATATTGTAACTTATGATTACGGTTAGTGTTTAAAACTAAGTGGGGATCACAGGTCGATCAATCGCAACATTACAAGAAACATACAAAGAAAATGAGATAACAAAAATTAATTTAGTGATAATGCGTGTGTACGATTTGATGAAAATGTTTTTCACGGATTGATATTAGACGCAGATTTGCGGTTGAAGTTCTGTCCTGGAAGATAATCGTAACCACTGATTGATAAAATGATGGTCGGTTTTAACGCTGTAGGTGTACCAACGTGTCGGATGGTCGTATGGCACCTCCCGATCGTCGAATAACGGACAAAATTTGATTGCCGGTACGCCCAAGACGCAACACACACCACGTTGCTCGGATAGGCACGGTTTTGACGCGAACGTCTGATCCGACAATCAGAAAATTATTGATTTGAAAGAGAATCGCGGCGGTATCGCGATAAAAGGAAAATCCGGTATGTTCGACTTGCGCGGGATAGGACGAAACAAGAAATAAACGCACAATGTCGTGATAGGCCTTACATGTAGTTTTTTTTTACCGGGTTTTTGATGAGAATTGGTGGGCAGGAGACGCTGACGGTCAAATACGATGCACACAACACAACAAACCAACGAAAAGCGGAACCGGATCGTGAACGACACGAGCGACTATGGCGCAGCCCGTGGCGAAAATAGCAATGCCGGGGTGAGCGTGGCGCTCCAGTGTGTAGAGATGTAACGCGATATTCAAATATGAAATCTGTATCATACAAGAATCATTCTTAAATGCAATTCATTCTCAAACGATTTTTCCTCTTTGAATATTTTAAAAATAATATTATTATTCAAAAATTAAATGTCGCTGCATCATAATAAAGATATTTTTAAAAGAAAATTTAAAAAAACACGTGTGTATTAGATTATTTTTTCAAGCACTATGATAGAATTTCAGTGAACGCAGTTTGGTTGAAAAACAAAAACTACTGCGTCAATGCTATGTATGCAAATAAAACAAGCGAACATTGAGTTTAGACACTGACAAATTCTGCGTTCAGATTTTGTGTTTGAGTGCTCCAGGAAAAATGTAACGGCAATTAGAACGTTTGTTTTATATAATAAGTTAAACACTAACATTCGGTGTGACTTAATCAATGGCGTAGCTGAACAGGAAATGGCCTCAGTGCAGTGGGTAAACTAGGCGATTACGTATGATCGTTCTAGACGCTGTTGGTGTAAGAACGCTCTTAAATTTATGAAAAAGTCATGAACACATACCATATTTCAACCTACGAGAAAGCACTAAATTTTTATTAAGTCCGGACGTCAAATTTCCTAAGGTCCAACATATTTTATTAATTGAAAGTGTTGGAAAGAAAGTTATTTTTCAGTACCTAAACTTACCATTACAAATAACATTACAAATAAGTCACAATTATTAATATTAACCGTTATTAAATTTTGATGAAAAAACAGTACATTATTATATGTTAGGTTAGGTATGGCATTTTCTGGAATTGCTCATAAATACATTTTTAAAAAAAAGTTTTTCAAGCAAGTTAAAGGATTATTGATCAAAAGCTGATATTTAACTCAGTTATCCGACTATTATTAAATCGGATGATATTTTTTAAGTTGTTGAAAAATATTTTGAAAAGTCTTAGGAACAAATTATAAATAAATGTTTTTAAAATATCGGAAGAATTAATAATTATGATACAACGTTTTAAAAGTCGGCCAGTGAACCACATATTAAGACCGACCACAATTTTCCCAGGAATATATATACATATGTTTTATGAATGGATATAAATTTGGCTTGTAAATATCAGGGGAATAAAAAAGGTCGATTGTAGACTCAGTCCGATTATTTTTGCAGATAAAATATAATAAACATGACAAAGTTTAATTTGGAACTGATGCGCAAGATCTCCTAGTTAAAGACATTCGATCTATGAAAAAGATTATGTAAACGCTAGAAGGAAGTCAATGTCTGCACTACCAAAATCAATCTATAAAGTACATTAGATATTATAAATTACGCAATGTTCAACATGAAAAAATAATTTCTCATTGCTGAGATTCAAATTTAAAAACATTTAGCAAACCAGAATACGTCAACGGAACTTTCTCATACTGTGCCAGGTTTTTAAACTGATGTTTATACTAGGTATATTATAAATGGACATTACATACCCGCAAAAACTACAGTTACATTTATTTCAAGTTTTGAAACATAACCGTGAAAAATGTAGGGTAGCTCAGTGTGACTTTAAACCAAGAGTAATTAATTATCTGCGACTTTGAAAAAGTTATTCATTGTGACTTTATTTGGCCACTATTACTAATAAGATATCAGAAGATCAGGGATTTTTTTTTTTTTTTATTTGAGCCAAGTTTACGTATCAATCATTTTCATATGAAAAAAAAACCGTGGCCGAGTTTACAATAGACCCTTTTTCCTCGGGCCGAATTTACAATCGCCCTATTTTATTTATCGACCGACAAGGTAATAATATTTGTTCATGTATTTCAAAAGCGATTCGTCCATTGTCACGCCATGGCTAAATTGAAAAATTCGTATTATATTTGTTTTAGATGGAAAAATAATCAATCTGCGTCCGTAGTAATGGCGTGCGCGGGATATACGTGAAT